TTTTTTAAGGTACACACAATAAATTCTTCGTCTTCTTCTTCTTCTTCTTCTTCTTCTTCTTCTTCTTCTTCTTCTTCTTCTTCTTCTTCTTCTTCTTCTTCCGCCTTCTCCTCCTCCTCCTCCTGCTCCTCCTCAATTACTGCTGGAGAATGGCTGTGACTGGCTTCTAGTATGGCTGTGTAAAGTAACCCGTCTCTGGAAATGCTGTCACAACAGCTACTTGAGAAAAGGAGTGTCTTACTCACCATCCCAGTGGTTGGTGTACGCATCCTGCCTAAGTTCTTGTTGAGAACTTTCGTATTGCATCAGGTGTAGCCTCCCACAAGCTGCACGTGGACAACTCACTCTGCTCTTAGTTATGGCTTGCTTCGGCAGAAAGAAGGACACCCTGTGTTGTTCTGGCCCATCGTGCTGTTGTGTGGCATAACAATCAGTCTGTTTGATGTTGCCATCCTTTAAAAAAAATCAAGAAAAGAAACGACAAATTTTTATTATCTTTTTTTTTTTTGGTGAAAGACAACAGCCCCGGAAATAGCTTGAGGTGCTGGTAGGAAGCAGTGCAATAAAGAATTTGGCAGCTATGAACCAACTTCTCGGGTGCATGAACAACTTTGCGCCAGGCAAAGGCGACGGTGCAAACACCTCAGATTGTGCACGGTTGAGAATCAACTGCAGAGGACCGACAGTCCGAAGACAGAATACAGAAGTGAAAGCAGTGCAGAGGCTGTGCTACCAGACGCAACAGGCAGGGTATGCAGGAACGAGAGGTCTTCACCCAGAACAAGCCAACCAAGAGCAAGCAGGGACGCTCCCCCCAGGCAGGCGTCCGATGACAGCAGCAAGAAAGGTGGCCCAGGGAATCAATTGGACAGGCAAATGGGAAACATGGAAAATAGAAAAAGGAAGCAATGAAGCAAGGATGAGGGAGCGTCAAGAGAACAGCTCCCACGGAAGTTGGGATACACTGGCTGAAGAGAGGGATCAGGGTTTAAAGTTTACACGCTTCAAGGGTTATAGGGGTTAAAGGGCTCAATGGAAGGAGGATGAATGCAACCACCTTCACTACTACTCAGTACCCAGCACTCACACCAACAGCAGGGGAAGTAGCTAACATATTCACGTATAGGTTCTGGCGGCCTGCCTTCAGGCCCAAGAGGCACTAACATGAATTTTTCAACATTAAAAGGGGACGTTGGGCCCGTTTCCCAGCAGGTGCAGCTCCCCACCGATAGATGGAGCCTCAGCAGGAAAGCTTGAGGAGTGTGTTCCTCTTGTTCCCGGCAACCAGTGCCGGTCTCGTGACTGTAAGTTGAGTGGTTGGGGAGGCGGGTAGGGGAGAGGGCAGCGAGGTGGCGGGGGGAGGGGGGGAGGAGAGGGGAAAGTGACCATCGGTAAGGTGGGTGGGGCGAGTGTGGCTATGGAGGGGCGGGAGGCTCTTGACTTGGGGGGGCTGGCAGTTGAGGCCGGCTTGGACGGAGTTGCTGTGGTTGTGGTGAGGCGGGTGGCACGTGGGTCGGGAGGAGGACAAAGTTAGGCTGAAGGCAGGGGACCTGGAAGTCACTGAAGGGTTTCCTCTGCCAACCAGGTTCCCTGCTCCCACACGGTTTCCATGTTATGTTAAGGGCGGTGTCCAGCTCAGAGAATATTCTGTTGGGGTCTTGCCAAATTTGCGTGTAGGAGTGTCGAATAGCTTCCTTGGTGGGAGTGCGAGGATTTAGCCGTCAGCATACCAGCATAAGGCCCTCGGCAGCAAACGCGTGCCCGCCCTAAGTGAAGGCGGGCCCCTGAATGTCAATGATCCCTGAATTCGTCAATGTTTGCAAAGCTTGTTGGGTGCCAGACAGTTGTCACATGCCAGTTGGTTACATCCGCCTTGCTCGAGAGAATCCAAAATATTCATAAGCCTTCCAGGCTCTTCGGGCAACGCGGTGAGAGCAGGGTACACCGCACGTTTGTGCCTGGGTGGT